CCACTCAGGTGCTGTGTTACTCTCGCAGCAGGGAGGGTGGGGGCGCAAAGGCAGGCGTCTTGGCTAGGAGGGAGGTGGGTAGCTCGGGTTCCAGTTGTGCAGACACTTTGCTGGGAGCCTGGTCAGTTAACCTTCTGGGTAGTTTTTGTCTTTAAAGGAACATTGTATGTGTTGGGCCCAATTCACAGGTCAATGCTGATAGTTGTGGCGGTGGCGATGGCCGCGACAGTGACTGCAATTACAGTAATAATGACAGCTAACACTTCCTGAGCATCTGTGCTGTGCTCTGAGCCACCTGGTGCTGGTGCTGCCCACACCTTCACTTCACGGATGGTGGAGTTGACACTGGGAGGCAGAAGGCCTGGGCAGATCATCAGTGGAGGGGCCAAGGCTTTGGCTTTTGCTGTTTGACCCCCAGCCTGTGCATCTGGCCACAAATACACTGCCTCTCGGTGACTGAAATCTCCGCGAGGGTGATGTGGATTCGTAGGAAGGCCTGCTGCTGCTGCCGCCTACCGAGCCCCTTTATTTCCCAGGTGCTCCCATGGGCTCTGCAGTCACGGCAGTAGGTGAAAGACAGCCCCTGCTCTTGCCTTCTAGTGTAGGCAGGGCCAGGCAGGACGCAGCTTTATAGAGACCACAGATAATAGATAATGGATGGGTAGAGGATTGACAGATAGGTGCCAGGTAGGAAGAGGGCCAGCAGCACTGTATGCTTTGACAATAAAACAGAGAATGGAGAAAGAATAGCTAAAGGTTGCTGCTTCATACGGCATAGTCACTGACAGCTTTCCTGAGGAGGTGACATTTAGGGATGAATGCAAATGAAATGGGGAATGCACCACAGGGGAAGGGGGTTCAGGCAGGGAGAATCTCATTGCCAGGGTCTTGAGACGGAAGTGGAGCCCAGGGGACAGCTGTTATGGCCAGAGCAGATGAGCAGGAAGGACAGAGGGTTAGGGCCCCGCAGAGAGCTGAGAGGTGTAAGGCTCCTGTGTGGCATTACAGGGAGCAGCCCTGGAGGAGGTGGCGAGGGCGTCTGAGGCCAGGATGAAGGGCTTGGAGAGGTTGGGATTGCTGTTTTCCCAAGGTGGAAGTTTAAGTAGCATGGGGTGCACTGATCAGCTTTGAGCCTTCCAAGGTTTCTTGTAAGCCTCTGAATAGTTTTCTCATTTATTAAACGAGGACAGTGCTGCAAGCCTTATAAGGTATCGTCAAGTTCAAGCGAAATGTTTGATAAGGGCTACTTGCAGCTATGATGTATGACACGAACAAAACCCAGGCCACTGTTCAATAAATAGGCCCACTTCTGAATGCCGTGCAGACTTTCGTGTCCCCAGGCTGGTGGCCAGGTGTCTTGGGACGCGAGGAAGCCTTTTCCTATCCCTAGTGCCCCAGTCTTCACTTCACACACGGAGGGCTGAACTGATGGTTGTTCCCATTTACCAGAAAGGGGAAGTGCAGTTCAGGGAGCTCAGGGAGTGGAAACGCACAGCCAGCAAGTGCGGGAGGGGTGCCTTCCGGTGAGACGTCTGAGTCTATATTTGATTCCCAAGAAGATGGAGAGGTGTTGGCAGAGATCCAGAATGGAGGGGTCAAGGTTAGAGGTCAAGTTGAATTGGACTTGGGCAGAGATGGATTTATTTAGAGCAGTTACGGTTGTTACGGTCACACACATAGTCCTCGGAAAAGTAGTGCAGTCTTACTGACCGCACAGATTAATGCACAATAAAAATTGCTGCAAATACTCCATGCGGATGCCAGCTATAACACAGAAAAGCTTAGGAAAACAAGGCGAAATCGTAACGTGCCAGGTGATGGCAATTAACCACAGATGCCAGAAGAATGGCACAGCTCAGCGGAGCGCTGCTTCAACTGTGCCGGTGGTCGCCAGACAGACGGGGTGGGCGGAGCTTCTGCCGGCCAGGAAGAGCCCCCCCCCCCCCCGCTGT